CTACTTGCGTAACTTGCTAAAATTCAGACACAAAAATGTATTAAAACGATATTCAAGAAATAAAATCTAAATGGTTTTATTTAATAAACAGTTAACTGGTCGGCTTTAATTTTCTTTTAATAATATTTTCTGCCCTTAATGAGTTTTTAGGCTGGCGTTGTAAAAGATCACTTATTAAAATGCTTTGAATTTTTAAATACTTCGTTCTCATTTGGGAGATTTAAGAAAATAATTTGTTTTAAATATTATTCCAACATTGACTTTGCGATGAAAGAATGGAAGAAAATTTTACTATCATGCACTTTTTGTTAATGCCTTATACAATTCAGCAAAGGTATAAATAAAAAAAATGTTTGACCCTAAAAGCGGCTTGACAATGACAACATTCAATTAACATGTTTTTTTTAATTCTTAGCTAGATATTATAAACTTTGTAATTTCATCTTCAATGATTTCTTAAGCTGCAAAGCATAAGACGTTAAACCTTAATACGGAAGTGTTAAGGTTGAAATTACATTGCGCGAGAGGTGCATGTATCAACAAGTTGAAAAAATTCGACAATGAGGTGTAGGACTCGGTAACTCAATTGGTAGAGCAATAGCACGGAACGCTGGCGATGTCGGTTCAAGTTCTGCACGAGTCGAACATTTTTTTAAATTTTATTTGATTTTTAAATCATATTATAATGTTATGTGTTACAACTAAATCTTATCTTAAACCATCCTAAAACATATGTTCCACAAGTCAAGAGTACTTGGGCCCATTTAATATTCTGGTATGTAGTTGCATGACTTCTGTGGGACTGCTTTGGGGTTCGAGCCTCCGTCCTCGTGCTTAACCGTTGTGCCACGGCAGTACATGGTCTATATCAAAGCACGAAGCGGAAAGTCCAACAAGTAAGTCAGTGATTCACCGTCACCCTTTGTTTAGTCAGGTCGGGGACTGTTCGTCGAAGCCACCAGATAACGTCAAGTAACATCCGATACGTCAGGCGAGCTGCCGGTCCACCTGTCAATCACAACGCTGATTGGATTTCGATATTGCCGCCATGGCGTCATTGCCTCCTTTCGAATACACCAGGGCCAATTCAATTTATTCATCAAGCCTTTTTTGAACGTCCGCACTAAATAACTTTGGGTTTCAGGCTTTATCGAATAACGATGATCAAAGAATTATATTTTAAATCGATTTAGATACTATTTCAGCGAGATGTGTCATAAATTTTAATGAAAAGTAAGTGTAACTTTAAAAGCACTTGAGTATTTAAATAAAACACTTTAACGGTTTAAAACGCGAAATATATTAATTAAACTTATTTGAAAATTATTTTCACTACGACCCAACGTTTCGGATGCTTTGCAGCAGCCGTGGCCATGGAGAGGCAACACTTAAGTATTTTCCGTAGTTTACGCCAGTAATACATATTTAAATAAAACTATTTTCACTAGTATATTATTATAGTATAATAAGTATAATTTTACAATATATGGCAAAAGAAACGATTATATTTTAAGCAATTGATTTTATTTAATAAACCATTTTTATAGTTTAAAACGCAAAATATATTAGCAGTCGTGATCGCATTGCAAATGCTGCAAAGCATTTAAAACGTCAACGCCAAACTAAATTTACTAATTTCTATAAAAGCAATTGTTTAAAATATACTAGTTTTAAAGATCGAAAATAAATAGAAAAAATTTTCGACTCGGGCAGGACTTGAACCGGCATCGTCAGCGTTCCGTGCTGTTGCTCTACCAATTGAGCTACCGAGTCCTACACCTCTTATACCTATACTGGTTTTATTAATCGTACGTTGCTTAATTGATAAAATGCAAATCGTGAGTATGATTCTGAGTGTTTATTTCTATATAAATTACAGAGCAACTTATTAAAAATAACTTTATGAACTTAATTAAATTTGAAACGGGCTTATGTAAAATATTGTCACCCCATAATTAGCACACGTGACAATATGCAAATGGATACACGTTTTGAATGTTAAATTACAAGAATAATTTACTTGCTACATTATTTCTATGTGTAAATAACTTAATATTAAATTTAAAAACACTATTTAATGTTGTATTTTTTTTTGTTTTGAAACTTTTTGACAATTGATTTTTTTTAATTGAAAATACGCTAAGTATAAATATTTTTTTATTGAAGTTACTTATTTTTTAAATAAATATTTTTGATTTCACCGAGCAATAAAGTCTGATGAAATAACAACAAAATAATACCTACTAGTCTCTAAATAATGTTAGATTGCGCCGTTGACCTATATTGCTTTTTCGGAATTCTGAACTAACTTGACAGTTTTTCTCTCTGCGGCATTGGTTCGTGACCCGGGCGGAATTTCTACCAAGAGGGTGGTATAATATTCAGATTTTTAGACGAAGTCCAATATATTTCGGAAAATGGTGGACCCGTTCGGGGATTGACCCCACTATTCGTTGCCACCATTACACCCACGAGCCCGCCAAAAACCTTATAGTATTATTTATATTTTCCGAGCATTTTCACGGGTCAAGACCTGTTTACAATTACGAACGTATTACTTATTCAGCGTAGTATAGCTTCGTTCGGGTAAAGAAATTGATTTCTGCATAATTTAGCAGCGAAAACACCTCGCAGGGACCTCCATGCGTAATAAAAACAAAACATTCGCTTGTTACTACTTTCATCCGAATAAATGAATACATTTTTAATGGGGGGACTCTCCTTAGTAATCAAGATTTAAGTAACTTTTCTAATTTACGCGGCGGAACATTTTTGTCACGAAATAATGAACGCTTAATTCTCTTTGACAGATAGCATCGAATATTTTATTCAAAGGGACGTTTCGTTTACATAATAATTAAATGCGTTTTATGAATGACAAGTCTGGCGTTATAATATCGTAAATAAGTTCGCATCTGCAGGTGTACCGTGCATCTTAATTAGTTAGAAAGAAAACCAATCCATAGTAATTATTTAATTTGTTGAAGGATCAAAATATTATCTCATAAAATCTGCATAGATATTACGCATTATTGCGGGAAAAATGATTAGCATAATAGGCGGTGGAGATCTGTTTTATTATGCATCGTTAGATACGAAGTCTTCCTTATTATGTTCGCGTGCATAGCTATGTAGCTTTTGCAGTGATTATAACGTGAAATTATATTAGGTGTTTCTCGGAATTCGTGGGAATTTGAGCTTAAGGCACATATGAAATTATAAGGACTTTAAAGCTCTTTTGTCATTATTGTTGTAATTATAAATGTATCTGTGCTGAAAAAATATGTATTAACATGCCACTAAATTCTTCCAAACAGGCTAGACTAAATAGGTAGTAATATTTTGTCATTTTACTTAAGGTGTACTCCTACCTATAAAATAAAATCCCGAAAGACCACATATTTGATTTGCGTCTGCTTCAGTTAATTTACAATATTTAAATGACTCATTAAGTGAAAAAATATTTATTTGCAATGCGTTATAAAGCTGATATCCACTAGGACTGTTGTACGTAGCCTAAACGTAACAGACAAATCCTTAAACGTGTTTGAATGAGAAATAAACTTCAGGGCATGTTATGTTCTTTGGCTTTTGGTAATGTTTGTATATTCATATCACATTTAAATAAAACACTTTAACGGTTTATTTTTTATTATATTTTATGTACTACTCGCGTAAACCATAGACAGTATATTATTCATATTATAGTTATTTGCATCATACGACCGTTGATTTATTACCTAAACTCATTATAAAAACTCGTGGCTTCTAAAATATAATAAAATGACAGTGACAGATGTCAAAATTGACAGCACAGAAGCTCACATATACTTTTGTTTTAAACAAAATAATTGAAAAGCGAACCTTCAGAGATAACACAAAACAATTCCAAAGTGTAATTATGAGCCGTGTAATGATAGGCCACTCGTGCAAAACTAATTCGGTCCGCTGCGGTATGCTCTGTATAAGCCGAGTCAGATTCTTGTAGGTAATTAACCGTTGCTATAAATTAAGGCGGGTGTCCGGGCTCATTGTGGATGCGTCGCACGGCCTCCGCCCAAGGATGCGGCGTCCAAACATTGTCACTGCACCACAACTCCAGCTGTGCTCGCTAGTTAGTGCCCGCACGACACACTGTGTGTTGAAATATCACCGCTCGATCCGCCTTAACAAGTCGATAAACTTGAGACGGTTTACTTGTAGCCGCTGTGAGCTTTTAAGTCACGATAATAAATCTAGCAGCTTGTTTTAATATTATAAATAAGAACGTTTGTGAGGATCGATAGATGTTTGATGCTTTCTTACGTCCAAATGGCTTGGCCAAAGATGTGTGAGTTGACACCCTGTCTGCTTAAAAAATCTTTAGAACTAATATTTTTAAAGCTATATTATAAAACTTCTAAATCGAATTAAATATAGGTCTTAAAAGATTTTAGTGTCTTAAAAACTTAATAAAATATCGGACTCAGTAACTACATAAAATGTGTCTTTGAAACTATGATTTACGCAAACTAAACAACTAAAGTGCAAAAAGTATGCAAAAGCATGCACTCAGAAGCCTCCGCGAGCTCTTGCCATGATATAGGATGCATCACGAGCTGTCTCCAGTAGCTCCAGGTAATCGCTCCACGCTCACGTATCTGATGGAGTTTCCAAGCTTCTAAACTAGTTCGTCTGTTGTCGGAAACTTTCGACGCCTCGGCGTACAAGGTGCATGTTCAGACTTGTTCCGATAAGGAGCCGGAATCCTAAATCCTAGCGCGCTTAGCCTCACGCCGCTGACGTTAGCAAATGCTCTGTGGGCAATTAAAAGTTTCAAACGTTTCCCGATTTTATTTCTATATCACCAGCACTTTAACTTCGCGAGGTGCTCGAATGTTATCGCAGGCCACGTATGCAAAGGCATGCAATATTCCAAATTACTTGAAAATAGAATTTAGTTTCGTTGCGATTTCCACGGCAATAATGGCTTTTGTTTCCCCAGTTTCGTAATATGACGATCATGACACGCCGCATAGCTTCGGCGTGACAGCGAGGGGGAGTCTCGCTCCGGCCTTACGAGGATTACACGAAAATGCGTATTCGATGACATTTTTTCGGGCCCATAGAAAACGATGAAATATTAGGAATGCGGACGTGACGCGAATGCCGGTAGGTGGCAGCACGGCGGCACCTATTACCGATCTGTGCGTTCCGTTCGCGGTCGGGCGGACGAGAGCCGCCGCTGAAACCGAGCGTGACGTTCCATTCCTGATATAAAAATGTAAGTATGAAAGAGCTTTGTTAAACGCGGCCTGGCTTGGCGAAGTGGTAAAGTTTGAAGTGGAAAACTTTCTAGGCGAAATCTTTTGCGGGAAACGATTAAATTTTAAGAATATTTGTACTGTTAAGAGCGCCATTTTGAATGGAACGTCTTTTGTTAGAATGTAATTATGCGTATTTATCGAAGCTTGATAGCGTTAGTACTTCGTGTTTCGATTGTTTAATCCATGAAATACGAGAGTTCTAAATTGGGGAGGCATAATAGTTTCGGTTGGGCAGAGCACAGACTGACCGTCTGACCAACTACTTGTGTACTGTCTATAGTTTACGCGAGTAGTACACATTTAAATAAAACACTTTAACGGTTTAAAACGCGATATATTAGTTAAACTTATTTGATTTTTAACTAATATATCGCGTTTTAAACCGTTAAAGTGTTTTATTTAAACTACTTGTGTGTTATATTGTCTCGTCGGTTAATATTATTTTTTATAATAGCCCTCTATTAATTACGTAATATTTCATTGACTTGTCTTCTATTAGATTCGCAAATATATATATAGGTAATGAAGGTAGAGAAAATATATTTTTAATTCCAAAGATGAGAATAGCACGTCTTCCATTTCAGTTGAAACAGTTGGACTGTGTTGAATAATAACAGAATTGCGCGAAAATCTTTAGCAGGGGTTAGAGGGCGGTCTATTCAGGGAGAAGATTATTTTAACGAAATAATTAAATTTGCGGAAGTCCGGTGCACAGCGGACGTAAGCAGAATCCAGAATAGGAATTGGGGAATTCATTTAGTGAATGAGTTTTTATGGTTCTATTGTGGCTTAAAGAGCAATATTGTGCGAAGTATTATAATTGTATTCAATTTTTTTCTAATACAACATCAAACAAGACTACCACCCTTAGCTTATTATTTCTTATTATAGTAATTTTCTTTCTGTCTGCTTTTGGATTTATACACTGAGGTTATATTAGACAGGATAATTAGAAATTTTTTTAACATAAAAGAATTTAAACAATAACACTAAGTATTTCTGTAGTGTCCCCCCGTGACCAGCTAAAATTGAAACATCGGTACGTACTATTTTATTTCAAATTTTAAACTAATAAAAGTGTTTTATTTAAATGTTAACTATAATTTTATGGTTTTGGAACTTTGAGTCTAGAGCCATAGACTATTTCTTATAGTTGTTTGTATTGTTTTTCCGCCTTCTCCGTGAAGTTGTATAACGTGAAAAGTTCTAGTGGAACGAATTAAAAGCAACTCGATTAGCTGTCTGGTCAGCTACTAAATAGCTGAATCGTAAGTAAGGGTAAGAATAAAATCTGTACACGTACTTGGATTCGAGGCACGGTCGAATCCACAAGGTTTTGCTTGGGTTGGCGAGTCGGGTTCCGCAGTGCGCTATAAGTCTTTAACTTATAGAGAATAATCTAGATAGTATTTTATTATTTATTTTAGGACTGTCTATGTGGTTCAAAGGCTATGTAGCTATAGTTTTGGGGTTCGCATGTGGTGAATATAAGTTACCAATATTAAAAAGTTGAAGAGTTTATTTGTTTGAACGCGTTAATCTGATTTAAATTTAAAAAATATTTCTGGGTTGATTGGACCATTTTTCGATGAAAACTGCTCTAAAAAAGGAGGGAAATGTGAAATAAGCGGGGAAAATTGCTCATCTTTGAGGGCTTCCCTGGTGTGCCCTCCAAAACTTGTACAATAACTCAAAAAGTATATTAAAAAGATTGAATTAGAAAATAGAATATCTTTAAATATTCTTGAAAGTATAGATATTTATCTTTTATGATTAAATCTCTGGAACTACGGGACGCGGACGACATCGTGTGTAACAGTTAGTCATAAATATGTTTAGAATACAGATCTCCGATTGCCTACAAATGTATCCGCCGTGTAGTCTGAATAAAATATTTTTCTTTACGAAACCAACCAATACAAGCCAATTGGTACTAGAATATTTTGTATTTTTCCTCTATGTAATAAAAAAAAACAAAACGTACCACATTAAAGAAAACTAATATTTTTAACTATAGGATGCTAATTGTAGATGTAGTTCAGATCAAACTTACAAATCTCACAGCGAATGATAAAGCTTTCATAGTAGGTATACACTGTGTGTTTTCTCGAGAATAGAACCCGGGATGACCTATACCAAACCTTTGAATTGTACTATTCAAATAAATGAGAGAGAAACAATCGTAATACGCGTATACAAAATGATAATGTAAGGCACAAACCGTAAAATACATTTAGAACTGTGACGTCACGAGTAGTTTAATATCGAGAACAATATTTTCGCAAAGTTACGCTCGCCGGCTTGCATCAACTGAAACAAGTCTGCTCTAACGACTGTTTTACGTTTTGCTACTTGAGAATGCTATTTTCAGATTTTCTTGGGAGAATTTGAAGCTCTAAGACATAGTTCACTGCAGTGACAGAGTAATGCTTACCAGAGTAGAACTTAGCGTGTTTCTAAGAGCAGTCTTGGTATTTAAACATTAATTTGTTTTATGTAAGTGTTTTTTTTTTTGATTTTAATCAGTGGCAACACATAAGCAGATGCATGGGTTGACGATGACGATGACGATTCAAGACACCCAAAAATTGTCAAAGTGAAGTTTGACTTTGTCAATTTTTGGGTGTCTTGAATAGTTTTCCCCGTTAGTATCAGCGCTTATGCAATGGCAGCAGCACAATGGTTTATAGCCTATAGCCTTCCTCAATAGATGCTAAAACCAACACAAAAAGATTTTTAATCCGAACCAGTACTTCCTGAAAATAGCGCGTTCAAACAAGCATAAAAGTGTTTAGCTTTTTATATTAGTATAGATATTTTCTATCTTGTCGTCACGTTGAACACACAGAATTGAAATAAAATACATTTTAAATCGTTTTCTTCATTAGCTTTAGTCTTATTGTAATAAGTCTTCTTTGTACTAACATTTTTAATGTTGCTCTTCGGCTTATACGTATGTGATAATCTTGCCTATCGTTATTATCTATAGGCACAAAAACAGACTTAGATGATTAATTCATTATTTTACTCAAAATACATGAATGAACATTAGTGTATTTTGAGTAAAAAGTCCATAAGCTAAGTCCTTTTTAAATTTAAAATTTTTATTATTTTTTTAAATTAACATTTAGTCGTGTAACTTTAAAATCTAAAGACATTTTTAATGGTTTAAAACGTGAAATATATTAGTTAACTTATTTTCAGCCATAGTCAGGGGCGCTGCCACCATTTTGCTGCCGCAAAGCATCCGAATCGCCGAGGCGTCGTTAAAGTAAATAAAAAAAAGTTCACTTATATATTTCACGTTTTAAACCTTAAAAGTGTTTTATTTAAATAAGGTAATACTCACAAAAATATAGACAATATTTAAAAAATGTTTTGTATAGAAAAGCTTTTTTTTACGCTTCCGAGTCTATTTTTCCGAAATGATGGATTAAACAATATGTTTACGATAGTCAAGTTTAGCAGAAGCTTAAGAAAAGGCATAAGTTAATGATCCTACAACATGTTATAATAATTCCGGTACCATATTGTAGTTTTTGTTTGTTCTGTTGACGTTTCGTCTAGAAAGTTGGCCTGGAATGACACACTTAGCTCGAGCAGTCGCCTTCGTAAATCCATGCTTCGTTAGAATGTAACTTCTATTCTAAATCAAGCCACAAATTAGTGAGCCCGAATTGGATTGCTTTGTTAAATCTAAAACTTCGTATGAGCATAATATGGAAACAGCTTTGTTTTCGCATCGAGTTAAAATAATGGAATGTGTTGTAATTTAATATTGGTCTTATTACATTGGGGCCAGACACTGCTTGTTTGCGACTTTTTCATTTGATTGCTAAATGTAAAATTAGTTATGGATATTTTAATTATGTACTACTTAAACCAATACTATCGGGTTGACTACATGATTTTAAACGTATATTCTTCTTCTTTATATATGCTTGAAAACGTATTCTTTCTACATGTTAAAAAACTTTAGCACATTAAACACATTAAAAATCTATTTACATTGAAAAAATTTTTTACGACAAGGTCTGGACTTGAACGGGCATCCACAGCAATCCGTGCTGCTCCTCTAATTAGGGTACGGTATCCCAATTGGTTAGACTGCAGCACAGAACGCTGTGAATGCTGGATCAAGTTACGACAGAGTTTTTTTTTTTCAGAGTATTATAGTTTTTAAACCGACCCTTAAAATACAAACCCTGTTTTATGGACTTGAAAATGTTATTAAAATGACTAAACATAAAAAAAACAAATTTTGTACGTCGATTATTATTAAAATTATTATGACGTAAATTTAGAATGATATACTGAGTATTTTTTAAGGCGCTAATCTCAAGAACAATTGGTTCGAATTCTTCTTGTGTTGAATCGAAATATTATTGTATCGGTTAGAGCAATTATCGAGGAAGGTTATAAAATATCAACTTTCGACCAATAGGAGCGAATAAACTGTGAATGACGTCCACATTTCTCACGATTGAAAGGGGATGTTGTATTCTTCTTTGCGGCGTTGCGAGCGCTGAGAAAACGGTTTAACATACCCAAAAAATATAAATAAAAGAGTTATTTTTCTTTAATACTTTAACAAAATGGCCTCGACACTATATGTCTATCTTTTAAGATTAACTCACGACAATCGTTTTTTGTGGTACCAACTTTTCTCTTCTTAATTCAGCTATTACTTAATATACCCAATGGCATATTAAAGTAACGCTATCCGTTTGGGTAAGTAATACACAGCGTCCAGCGTCTTAGAGAAGCCATTAACAATAAATCCCGCTGTTTACTCCTCCCCACTTACGCCGTCTGACGTTAATCAGCTTCCTGGTCCAGAATACTAGATTATATAACGCCGTCTAGTCTAGATCTTTTGTTTTTTCTTAGCTCGGTCATGTTGCTTTCACTTTTGCCCAGCTTTGTTGCGAAATGTTTTAGAAAATTTCATTGCGCTAACAATGGCTGACATATTGCTCGCTATCTCGGTGCCTTGTGGCTATGTAAAGATTGTAAAGACTATTAGTTAATATTGTGTGTTTAGGTAAAACACTTTACCGGTTTAAAACGCGAAATATTGCAGGATATTGATA